CCTGCACCACCAGAGAGGTTTTAATCTTTATCAGATGTGTTAACAAGAAAATGAGACAAGCTAGCTGTTTTAATTAACTTCTCTAACTTCCCAATATTCATCACATAACAGGTCTTAACTGATTCTGCTGTAATGAACTCAAGAGAATCACGATGTAGAAAGAAATGTTAAGACAGGAATAAAAAAAAAACTGTAGAGCTATGATCACCCTACTTAACTGCATATATATTTAACACAAATTTTAACACACTTATAAACAAAAACAAAACCAGTCACTGAGTCACAGTTTCAATATGTGAATACTACATCCACATAACATTGTACTATATTTACAACAATATTTCAGTGAAAGAAAACTTTACATTTCATTACTCAGTGGTATATAGTATACCGTGCCTCAAATAAGTATGAAGCAACCTATAGTATCTCAAATCCATTAAGAATAAAGAAAAACATATGGCAAGACACTGTACAACAACAGGACTATACATAAATGTAAAACAGGAATCCTTTCCTTACCTCTTTCTTTACCTCTCTTCTTTTTGGTAAATAAAGGAAAAGCATATAATACTACTGTGTGCTCCTAACGTAAACTGAAGTAAAAAAAAATCAAGACAGGCCAAGAAAAAAATATTATCTAGAAATAAAGGAAAAGCACTTAGCTACTATATGGCTATTAAAAAAAAATCAACAATAAAAAAGGGCCTACTTGTTTTGTGAAATTATGAAAAGCAACAGCTATGCTGAGATTTTTTTTAAAGATTTTATTTATTTATTCATACAGAAATGGGGTACAGGCCAGAGGCACAGGGGTGGTGAGAGGATTCACCAGAGACAGAGTGGGGAGCAGAACAGGCTGACTGATGAAGTATACTGCTGAGGGGAGCAGCGAGCAGGTCAGGAGAAGTCTGCTGTGCCATGTGGATTACCTCTGGGGCAGGCAGGGATCGAACTCATGCGAAAATGGCTTTAGATTCCTAGCGCTGCACTTTAACCTGCTGCGCCACCAGGGAGGGCCCTATGCTGAGATTTTTAAAATGTAGGCATATAAAAACACTAGTTAAAAACTACTAAGTATTTGAATGAAGAGAGAAAACAAGCTGGTTCAAGAAGAGAGAATGATATAACATGAAGTGATTGGGATCCCCACAAAAAAGGTTTTTAATACTATAAATTACCTCCAGGATGGGTACCATTTTTCTTGCTAATGGAGATTTGGGAGACTTCTAGGTCAATGATTAATCAGCAGTATTATCATCAAAAAGAAATCCTTCCTTTAAAATATTTCTTTTTCTTCAAATATTGTCTGAATAGATGTCTACATCTTATTAACCAAAAATATGTAATAAAAAATAATGAGCAATAAAATGACTTATATGTATCACATTTCTGGATATATTGAAAATAGTTCTCTCACAGAATCCTATATGGCAGGGAATCAATTTGCTCATTTTATAAGTGAGTACATGGAAGTCTAGAAAAATCAAATGGTAAATTTCTAAAAAAAAAAACAAAAACAAAACAAGTTCAAAAATCCAAAAGGTCATTGGTATTAAAATAAATATCCACATTTTAGTAGTAGTCATCTATGTTTTCTTTATTTGGCTGTTACAGCATTTTGCTTTGAGTATATAAAGATTCCAATGAAGAGAATATCTCACTCAAAACTCACCATTTTTAGCAGACCATTAAATGATCTGTGAGGTATAAATGATTGGAAGGTCTATAAACTGAACACACCCCCGTATTATTTGTAGTTTTCCATGTTCCCTAATGTCTGAAGATTGCAATTTATCAATAATCTGCCTTGGGAAAGATGTCTAAATGACAAAAGGATAATGTTTAGGATAAGTTGCCAACTTCTACTCCTACTGATCATTTCTTCATATTAGACATCATATCCTGACTTGGCAAAAAAGCTAGTCTGGAGTATGTCAATTTATAACTAGTCTGTAATGACATAAAGTGACAGGCCTTAAAGGCCCTACCAATACACACGAATAAGGAATTCATTAAATCAATGCCCCCAATTTTCTTTTTTTAAAAGATTCATTTATTTGTGTATACAGAACTGGGGTACAGGCCAGAGGCTCAGGGGTGGCGAGAGGCTTCACCGGAACAGAACAGAGTGGGGAACAGAACAGGCAGATCTACGAAGTACACTGCTAAGGGGAGCAGCAGGCGGGTCAGGAGAGGTCTGCTGCGCCATGTGGTCACCTCCGGGGCAGGCAGGGATCGAACTCATGCGGAAATGGCTTTAGCTTCTCAGTGCAGTGCTTTAACCTGCTGCGCCACCAGGGAGGGCCCAATGCCCCAAATTTTCAATAGCAGAATGTCCAAAATTATTATTGGTAAGTAAGCAACTCTAAGATACAACCTTTCAATAGATTCATGAAAGCAATTTAATGAATCATTTAAAAAAATCATATAGCGGGGTCACTGTGGTGGCGCATGGGTTAGTCTCAGTGAGATCAACCAGTGGCTAGGCACTATGGCCTGAGTTCGATCCCAGGCACAGCAGACCTCTCCTGTCTCACCCACTACTGTACCCAGCAGTGTATCTCAGCAGATCCTCTTGTTCTGCTCCCCACTCTGTCTCTGGTGAGTCCTCTCACCCCCTCACCTCTGGCCTACACTCTAGTTTTTGTATGTACAAATAAATCTTTTAAAAAATAATAATAAAAAATAATTATAGAAAATGCAATATAATGCATGCAGTACAGTAATATTTTATGTAAAAAATACTTCATTAGAGCTAAAAAGACACTTCTCCAAAGAGAAAAATGCAGATGGCCAACAAGCATATGAAAAAAATGTTCAACATCACTCATAAAAAGGGAGATGCAGGGCCCTCCCTGGTAGTGCAGCGGATTAAAGCACTGCACTAAGAAGCTTAAGCCACTTCCGCATGAGTTCGATCCCTGCCTGCCCTGGAGGAGATCCACATGGCGTGGCAGACCTCTCCT